TATATATATATATATAGCTAATTTCTTCCAATCAAATAATTCTTATAAAAAATTTTTCAAAATTTTTTTGAGAGCATTGCCTATGTCCACACTATAAACAACACAAATGTAAACTTGATTCTAAAGCCATGTATCGTTTTTTGGGTATTTCTCCCCACAAAAAATGTATAAGTATCATTATGCTTCCCTTAAACAATTTCTCACTTCAAAAGAAGTCACCTTTGATGAGAAGTAAATTTTTTTAATCAAACTCATCTTCGGAGAGAGAACTCTCAACTGAAGGATAATATTCCTTTAACACAAACTCCAACAAATCTAGACACTATAACACTTAAGGTCTATACAGAAAGGAATAAGCCCAACAAAAAACTCCAGCAAGCTACCAAATAACAATAATCAACCCATCAATGCAAATTCTTCTCTGTATCCCAAATATGCTACACACCTTTTTAAAAATTTTCTCCTAAACATAGTCGTTCTTACAAATATTAGCTCTAATTTTATTACAATACCACAAGCTTTATTTAAGACACTAGAAAACAATAATTAGAAATATGTTAAGAGAGGAGATGAAAGCTTTGAAAAAAATTCGCCTTTTGGGATATTTTTGAACTGCTAAAAAAAAGGGTAAGATGCAGATAATTTTTTTTGTAATATATAGAATAGATGAAAGCTTGGAATGGTATAAAGTCAGATTAGTAGCCAAAGAATATACTCAATATTGTAAAATTTACTACCAAGAATTTTTTTTCTTCTCTTGCTAAAATAAATACAATACTTGGTTAGAAAGTATTAGAATGATCTTCTTTATTAGATTTAAACGAGAATTTGATTTTTAAAAGGCACAATGGAAAAAAAGGATTCATGTAGCCGACCCCACGTAGTGGGACAAAGGTTTGATGTTGTTGTTGTTGTTGCTAAAATAAATACAATATGCAACTTGATTTCTCTTATAGTCAATCGCAGATGGTACATGCAGCAGTATTATGTAAAGAATGCTTTCATACATAGGAATGTTGAAATACAAATCTATAAGAATCCACCACCTAGATTTGATAGGAATGTTTATGTTACATTGTATTTGTTTTCTCTCTGTGTTCATCCTGGCAGATGTCAGCTGGAATTATAAAGCAGCAAAAAAATGAAAAACATGCAACATGTAAAGCTATGGATAAAAGCACAATATCCTTTCACAACTAATTAAAATGTTCAATCTGTGCTAACATGTGATAACCGTTTTTTGGCCATTGCATAAACCAAAATTTCCACGAGCATGATAGCAAAAGAAATAGGTAATGCAAAGCAAATCATGAAATACAAATATTTTGAAACAATGAAAAGTGCAAAATTATAACCATACCAATAGGCTTTGGCAAGCTAAGATTTCTTTTAAGGCCGTCAATCCCAGCAGCAATTATTGATGCAAGACCCAAGTGTGGATTTGCACACCCATCAAAGGACTTGATCTCAAAGTTGCTCACAACTTCTTGAGATATACCAGGTGGACATGCAGTTCTTAATGGGGCTTCTCTATTTTCCTTTCCCCAACATTGATATGCTCCACTCCAAGTGTTTGGTTGAATACGATCATAACTATTAAAATGGTAAAATCACAAAAAAAAAAATAAAATAAAATAAATGCCACCTGAAGTAGAATCTCCATGAAGAGAAATAAACTTCAATGTTTAAAAATAAGCAAGAGGTACAAACAGAATGCCAGATCAAATAAAACTCATGGAAAATTAATATGAAGCATATCGGGGTGATGACAAAGTGTGCCCATTTAGCAAGTGATATATCTAACAAATAAGTACAAAATGGCCAGTGGGAAGTGAAGTATAGCCTATTAAAAGCTTAAATTCTCATCTTATAAGAACCAGATATTTTACATGCTTCTAACCATGTTATTTTTCAAAATCACTGCAAACAGAATGTAGAACCTGTTTAAATTATTTCGCGGAAATCATCATTTTCTTACTGAAAATTTTTTATATATTGATTGCTCAAGGTTCCTTAATCATCAGAAATACTAGTAGCCTTATCCCAATGATTTGAGCTCATGGATTTTAGCACAAGTTGCAGTCCTTAAATTCATGACCATAACTAGCTTTATCCCAACTATTTGGGGAGTTTCATTGATTTGTGCAAATGCTTTATTGTTCAATGTCGTCCTAACATCAAACCTCAACCTTTTTATCTTTTACTTTGGCCCCAAGTAATTCGGATAAGTGTAGATGATGATGATGTTGCTTCAGGAATGATCTCATGCCACTAATTAGTGAAACCCATTAACATCTATGAACAGTATACAATCATAATTTATAGGTTTTCATTAATTTTGCAAAAGGTACCTTGCCGAATGATAATACTCAATATACTAGGAAGTATCAACACCTGAATTGATCGTATCTTAATAATCCAGCACCAAAAGAAAATTGGCTCAATATTCTAAAGAATCAACACCAGCATTGACCACATCTTAATCATTGTACTCTGAACAAAATATTCCAAATGATCTCCACATACCTTTAAGAACAAGCACATTGAGAACTCTGAGTTTGTATTGAAGCTCAATCCAACCATAAGGCCTGAAGTACTATCATGAGAATTCTCGTTACAACCATCTCATTAGATTGTGAAATATTACTAGGTGAATTTCAACATATATCTTACATTTTTGGTTCTTCTCATAAAATGTGTACAAGTTTTCGGTAGTGATTAAAAAACAGATTAGAAGTTGACTAATTTGTCCTTCCATAAAGGGATGCAATATGTGGAAATAATTATGCATCTTATGTAACTGCAACAGAATCTGTTCTTGTATACAAAGTTCTGAATCAATACAAATAATCGGCACCAGCTTTTCACAATTCGAACAGGAAAATTTTAGGAGCCAGACCTTTTTTCTATATCTTGGCATTTTGCATGCCCCTCTATGAAGTAATCAATAGGTTAGCACTAATCAATAAAAACAACACCACTCAAGAATTTTTCCCCTATACGTAATTCATGAAAAGAAGGAAAGATTCTCATTGATAAATAGATGGTGTAGTTTGTTGTCATTTCTCCTATGTTGTTTTCATTCAAGTTTGCATGTTTCAGGGTAGTTTCCAGCTACTAAAGTTGATAGCTATGGGATTGGATATAGGCTCAAGGCAGAAGGCTCTGGCCAACTGTGTGATCTGGGCACGCTCAAATGAATAGAACTAGAATATTTTTGCATTCCAACACATGCCCTCCCTATTGTTAAGGGATAGCAACCTAACCATTGCACTAAGTACTATCCTTAAATAAAAATGAAATATGAGACCGAAAACATATAGCACACAACTCACAGAACTATAGTGATATATGGAGCAACTTAAATTGTAAAATACATTACAATGTGTAAAATCCTGTAGTAACAAAAATTAAGGGGAACCGGCTCATGTCAACAATTCCAGTGAATCAATTTTTCGGCAATTCTACCGTTAAATAGAGGAAGAGGGAGCAAAGCAAGAAAGAGTGAGTAGGCGAAAGTGAGGAGAGCAAGTGGCCAAGGAAGAGCAAGTGACAAGGAGAAATCTCACAAACTAGAGGAAGAAAAGCAAACTAGAGGAAAAATATGGCAATTGGGTAAGCAAGAAAAACTGCGCCTAGCAACAGAAGGAAATTGGCGAGGGAGACCGCACACCATGGAGTATAAGCCTTCAACGCACAAGAGAGATTGAGCGGGAACGAGCAGCCTCGCATGATACAAAAAAGTAAACAATGGAGATCGTACGATTGATGACAAGTTTAGGGTTTTTCTTTTGCATGAAAGACTGCTTAAGAATTTTTTTTTATCAAAAAAAACATTATATTTTAAATTTCAAAATAAATACTTAAATTTCTTTTAAAGTTTTATAACTAGGAATTTAGACTGCATATAACTAAGAATTTCATTTAGAATATTATTTCTTATCATAATCCTAGTTTATCTAAATAAAGAGGTTGGAATGTTCGATTTTAAATTTATAATTTAACATACAAGCTCATGATGTTAAAATAAATATATTGATTAATGAAATAAAAAAAAGAATTAAATTTTAAAGTTATATACATTAAATTAAAAAAAATTAAAGGTTAATGACAACATTGTTACTTAATAAAATTAAATGATTAATTGAAATAGTGTGTACGTATTCATATTTAAAAGGACAGAGAAATGTGATAATTATAAGAGAAAGTTCAGACATCAGACAATGGGAATAATTGTATTTATGTAAAAGGACCAAAATGAAGAAAATTTAAATGAGAAAATAAATAAAATTAAAATGGTTTGTAATCTAGTTGAAGTGTTGTGTTAAGTACTTTTAAACATAAGTTATAATATATGTGCTTAGATAAGAAAAGATTAATCATGTATAATGAAAGCAAAATATTATTAAATAAAGAGTTAAACTTTTAGTAAAAAGAAATAGGTATAGTTTAAAAAAAATTCATTCATATGAAGATTACATATGGATGATTTTATGCAAGTAAAATTAATGGAGTTTAAGGAGTAAGTGACAAAACAAATCTTCCCATGTTGAGGTAGGTAGTCAAATTTCTAAATAATAATAATAATAATGCTTCTTTTAAATCAAATGCATTTAATGATATCAATACTTATTCAATCAATTGTTGCAAGTTTAATTTTGATTTATCTTTACTATTAAAATTATTGATCACGTTGAAATAGACGATAGTTATCATATCATGTTTCAATTAATTATACTATATAATGTACTATAGAAAGTTATTATGATATGAAAAATGCAAATTTAATGACTATATAAAAGTGCTTATATGTGCAAGTTGACTGTTAACTCATCCTTTATGGTACTAGCTAGGGAAGTCAAGAACACTACGCATAAAATAGAAAAAAATATTGATAAAGAATGCCTTAAATTGTATAATTTAAACAATGCTCCCATGGTGAATGCATTATATACAAATGATATAGATAAACAAGATAAAATAATGGTTTCTTATAATCATGTTATTACTCTACAAAAAAATGTTTCATAACTTCTTATATTATCATATTTTAATAAAACGTATTGTCGAGTGATTTTTAACTTGATTCAACTATTACGACAAGCAGCATACATATTATTTTCTCAAATTTTTTATGCTATTGTAAATTAGAGATAAAATGTATCCAGAGTTATGCTGATAACTCACCCTTGTAGTTAATTAATATTTTTTAGGGCATGAGCTTGAAAACATAAAGACTTGGATAAAAAAATCAACATATTGTATACATGGCACAACAAGATAATGACATTTCTATTAGAATTGTTATATATTTTGTTTAGAATGAATTTTGTGATTTAGCAGCTCTTTTCATATATTAGAAGTTATGAATAAGAAAAAGTATGAACAACTGTAACTAAAATTTCAAAACTCCGTCAAACCATCTATTCCCGCTTGGACTTTTCAATCTTCTGGAATGAGTCATGACACAATGTGCCTATAGTAGGTTGAACTGCAAACTAGGGATCAATAAGGCAGCCACTTTACATGCATAAATAAAAAAAGAGTTATTTCACTAATATTATAAAAAACAACTTATTTTAAAGCAATTATCAGCACGAAAGAAAACAAAAGTAATAATTTGGAAACAACATATTTTCAATCAATTGTCAGCATGAACAAGGAACCTACCTGTTCGGAAGTGGAGCCGTAAAAGCTAAAATGGATGGAAGATGGTAAAAAACACCAGCCATGAATTTTTCTCCAATCTCAGACATGCCATATGGAGTTTTTGATTCCTCTGATCCCATAAAAACATTTCTTCCATTTTTCCACAAGCTTAAATGTACGTGAGATCCAGAGCCAATATCATCTAAGAAGTACCTATGCAGGAGTTGTACGAATTTAATAATCCCAAATAAAACGACAAACAATCAAGTAATCAAATTTGTACTTCCATGCATCGTAAAAAGCCTGTCTATTAATTATCAGCTTTTGGCATACTAACCAAGAAAGCAAAGGCATAAGAGTTTAAGACTGAGAAGTGCAGAAATTTCCATACGTGAGAGAACAAGCAAGCCTAGGATAGCATTGATGAATTACAAGGTAGGCTACTTGTTTATTATAAAGTTTATTTAAGAAGAGAAAAAAACGAACTTTGAAAAAGGAAGGCATCCCAAGAACTACCGAAAACCAAGCAAATCAATAAATAGATGCAAGAATATTCAACTTGTAAGATAAATATAGATATTATTTCTTCAAAGATAAAATAGCAAAAGGTCCCAATGGGATTTAAAAAAACAATCCATTATCAGAAAACAAACTTATATCAGAGCTAAGAGGGGAAAATCATTTAAATTATGTCAGCGCAGGCGCATTGCACTCCAAACGTGACTACGTCAACTATATAAACAACTACAAAGGTTTGGAAAGAAAACAGACTGTAAAACAGATATGAAAAACACACTTCGGGACAAATGTAGCCAGTAACCCATGTTTTCTTGCGATAGATTTGATAGTCTCACGAGTATAAATCAAGTTATCAGCTGCTGATGTGCAACATGAATGCCCCAAAGCAATTTCAAACTGTCCTTTTCCAGCTTCTGCATGTATCTATCACCAAAGAAAAGGCCAGACAACAAAAAGAAAATATGAACCAAATTAGATACTACTACTGCAAAAGGAAAATCAATATAAAAAAGATAAACTAACTACATAGAGCCATATATAAGGATAGAATGAAGAAATCCTATGCAGTTGAAAGATAAAACACAAGCTTTTGCAAAATATGAAGCTACGACATTGTCATGGAAAATGGACAAAAAAAAAGGGGGGACCCAATAGATCAATCAAAAACATAACATGGCATGTTAAAAGTACATTAAGATTTAAATACTACCTTGAAATGTATTATTGCATTTCAAATCATAGGTAACGGAAGCAAAAAACTAAGGAAATTAAAAAAAATGAGCATGACAGTAATAACAAATACAAACTAACTTGGCAAAGAAGCACCTCTTGCGCTAGTGCTCAAAATAGAGGTGGGCACCGGGCAGGTCAAGCTGGGCTCAAGTTGATTTGATTTGGGTCTAAGGAGTTTGAAGCCTTGTCCAAACATGGCCCAGACAAAAATAAGGGAAAAGAGTTCAGGCATAAGCCAAGGCCTTTCAAGTCGATCCAAGTCAACTGAAGTCATAAAAAGTGAATTTCATTAGGTCAGGACTCAGGATAGATGGAATCAAGATTATTCTTAAGAAATTGAGCCAAAAATTGTCATCGAGTCCAATTCGGATAGCATCTAGCTTCGGATCAAGACTATTGCCCCAGCCTAATATTATCTCAAATTTGGTTGATCAAGTGTGCCATGCTACCAAATCTATGCCCAAGCGTAGTCCCAAAATATGCTTAATTCACTTATAAAGAGTGTCCAACTAGACCCATATTATTTCTTAATAAATATTGACAAGGTCATGTCCAACTTTGGGCTTGGCTGCTCGTTTTTTTGTTGTTTTTGGGGGAGCTGCTAGGATCCAGCTCATTAATGTTTAATGGAAGGCCTTTTCTAACTCATTATTAGGTGTCTTGGTTCTTCCCCCTTCTCCCCCCCTCTCTGTGGCCATTCAGTTTTCCCCGCTCGGCTCTTCCCGTGGCTGGTTCTTCTCCCTTGGCCACCTATTCTGGTTCCATGTGTGGCCCTTCGGCTGCTGGCCTTCTATTTTCTCTGTTCTGATTGGCTCGGTTGGAGGTATTTTGGGCTGTTTGGATGCCCCTTTTCTCCTATAAATATGTGATGTTTTGTAAGAGAAAAAAGAGAAGATTATGGACAGAATTTTGGAACAAAACCTGAGGGTTTTTGTTGGAAAAGCTTGCGAGCTTGTTCCATTCCTCCTCTTCTTCTTGGAAAAGCTTGCGAGCTTGTCCTCTCTTCGATTTTGTCTCGAGCTTCTTATATCTTTTTTCTCTCCGCAAGTTCCATGCCACATGTATCTTTCTTCTCAAATGAATGAAAGCAGCTTTAGGTGTTTTATGTTTAATTTTATGTTCTAATCTTGTAAGCGTCATCTTTCTACTATGAAAGTTGTTTAAGTGTAGTATTTTGTGTATTTCCTTATTCTCAAGGATTTTCTAGTAGCTTGCGATCTAATTTTGATTGCATCAAATTGATATCAGAGCCTAGGTTATTTGTGTCTTTTGTTTAGGTGTTTAAAAAATGGAAAACCATAAAAAAATTGAACCAGTTGTGGGTGAAAATCAGCCAGAAGATCCTGAATTCCAAATCCCTATGGACAGATGGATTCCGTCGGAAGGAAGTTCAACTGATCCAATTCAAAACGAACTATACAAACTACAGATGAAGATGCATGTATTTATGAAGCAATACATAAAGAAAAAGAGACTTCTACAAGACCAATTCAAGCAAGAAAAAGAAATTATCCTGAAGAAATATGCAGCCAAGATTCAAGAATTGGATGCAGATCCTTCGTCTCGTCGGGAAAAATCTAAAGCATCCTCATCAGGAGATGAGCACTTTCAACCGAAGGAGAATCTGATGTGGGCAAGGGGGGGAGCAAATTATATGCCTTGTTTTTGGCTGATATCGGCTTCTCGATTTGGGCTTGGCTTTTGCTCGGTTTTTTGCTATTTTTGGGGAGCTGCTAGGCTCCAGCTCATTAATGTTTAATGGAATGCCTTTTTCAGCTCATTATTAGTTGTCCTAGTTCTTCCCCCATCTCCCCCATCTCTGTGGCCCTTCGGTTTCCCCTGCCTGGCTCTTCCCGTGGCTGGTTCTTCTCCTCTGGTCGCATGTTCCGATTCCCTGTGTGGCCCTTCGGTTGCTTCTCCTAGATCGGCTACTGGTTTTCTATTTTCCAATTTCAATGATGAGCTTTTCCAGAACTTCCTTCTCTTCCATAAAATCATCATCTCTTTGTTAGATCTAGTACATCGCTTATGCTATTAGATATGAAGATAATACGGTTTAGATAGACCACATACAAAGTCAGAAATCTTTATTTACATAATGCATATAGCTTCATTAATTACTTCTACAATATAACATTTGGGATTTTTTTTTTTTTATATTTCTATGTTTTTTTTCCATCTAGAACTCCTTGCTGATATTTCCTGTTCTTAATGCATATTAGTTATTTTTAGTTTAGGTCCTCATTTTTTTTCATGGAATTAATTGACTTAAGAGGTTTTGAGACACGGACTTCACCTACTCATTTCATGCACCATATTTAATATTCAAGCCAAATTTGACAAACTTGGTCACCAGAAAAGGAGCTAACCACAGAGGTATGCTGGAAAATCTACAAAGAAAAGATTTTATATATGACCTTAATGCAAGTTTGAGGCCTTTCAAGCCTAGGTCACACTATGCTTAATTTTTATAGGAACATATAACGAATAAGGGCACTTCCCAATCTAAAAAAATAAGGAATCAAGACCTCATTAAAGCTTCAACGCAACCATAATGCAAAGGTGCAAATCTAGGCTGTTGGATCCCAAAATCATGATCTTGACTCTATAATTGAACCCTCTTTAGACAGTGATCCAGTGCATGAACACAAGACCAAGGTGGATTTAATAGCTAGATAGAGTCCCTTGCAAGTCAATATTAGGTCATTTGCTACTCAACTCTCGACTTATTATTTCTAATGTGAGAAGACTACTATAAGTAAAGAACAAAGTTGCAGCATCCCTAGACCGTATATCATGCATAATTATAGCAAATAGGGTTATGGAAACCGTCTTAGATAACATAACCACAATATGGATGGCAACATAACCAAAAAAATAAAAAGTACCTTCTTATGATGATAGATTGGACGTAAAAGTTTTCCATGCTTTTTTTGGCTGAAATATAGTATTGCATAAAGTCAAATATTATGCACTATCCCAATGGGTCATTTTTGTCAAGATGAAATTGACCGGTCAAACTAAAATGCATAGATCCATAGTTTAGATTTTTAGATTGTAATACATTCATACAGTTATCTAAGATGAAATGAAAATTACACCAAAAATGAGTCTCAACTTATGACAAGGATTGCCTAATAGATGAACCAGCTTACCTGAGAAAGTTAAGACAAATCAATCAAAGCAGGAATACACTGTCATGCATGAGGCACCATGATGAGTTTACATATTATAACATCAATGAAAATTCAAAAGTTACCCATTCTGAAGCAACAAGTATATTAGTATTCTTCTAGTTTGAAAAAATAAAACCTTAGGCCTTGCTTCAAGTGCAACGATATAGGCTGTGTTTGGGATGGCTTTTTTAGTGCTTCACTGTATAAAACTCAACTAGGAGTATGTTTGGAGCACTAATTTATAACATAGGTTTAAAACTTTTTCCGTTCACTGCCTGCTTTATGTGACCTACAAACATCGCCGCGGTTTGTTGCGTTTTGCAGTTCTGAGAGGATAAAATGACGCAAAGCCCCTTCTTATTTCGACAATATTCAACCTAAAAACCGTGAATTCACCTTTGAAATTTCGCTTTTCATCTTCTTCTAACAGTGAATCGGGGGAGCTTCTCACACCAACTTTAAACAGCTATTTGTGTAAACCGTTGCCTGATCATTGTAAATCCCCTCCCTTTGTCGAATCGCACAATTTATCGCTTTGTAAAGCTTCGAACACCCTAAAATCGAGCCTCCAAAAGGTATATTTCTGAAAAACCTTTTGAAAGTTGCACCCTATTTAGCATTAGCTTAAAATTTGTTTTCGGATGATGCCATTTCAGCTGGCATCTTGTGATGCCATTTCAACTGGATGGCATCTTGTGATGCCAAAGATCGAACAAAGGAGAAGATCTTCCAGACTCATTGGTTTCACAATTCCTCAACTTTTATCACTCAAGAAATTTTGATTTCACAATATCTTCCTTACCCCTCTTCAAAATAATATTAAAAATTTCTCATGAAAAAATTAAAAAGGAACAACTATGATGATCAGGAAAAATGATTTTACCATTAACTTAGCTTTTGTTGCACCATTTCAAGGATACGATCCTTCCATTAACTTAGATTCTTCTTCAGATTCTGGTAAAATCTCACCTCTTGTAAATTTTATTTTCAAATGTTGGCATTTAGATATGATGAAAGACTAATGTAGAAATATTTGGATAACATAGCATAATCTTTTATTTGTGTCATAGATAAGCTAATTTGTTTTAGCCAAAAAACAAAATCTGGGACATTTTTTTGTTTAATATTTAAACCGTTTTCATCTTGAAATATTGCTGGAATTTTCTTTTATTTATGCATTTTTGCTATTTTTACTCGGCAGCCTGGGACTTTTCAAGTGTTGTTAGGATTTGCAGCATAGACATAAGAAGGGTAATAGTTTTGTAGGTCTTGAGTAAAGGCCTTGTATTAATGCGGTTTGCATTTGAAACATGACTCATGGTCCAATAACAAATTAACTGGTAGCTTGACAAAGTTATACCTCTACCCTCACTATCTGGAAATATACCCAAGCTATCCTTACTAGTGCAAATAATTGTGATACAAGCATCGATAGTGGAAATAATTCAACAAAAGAACATACCAAATAGTGATTGATTCTTTGGTAGCAAATAATATGATAAAAGAACATATCATAATTCTAATAACATAATACCATCTCACTTAACGCTCACTAGGAATGAACAACTATAGCCCACACTGATAATTAGAAGAAGGCTAAATATTTATGATAACTGTAAAACAAAATATGAAATGTTATATACATCATTGCATTATCCACTCCATACTAATAAGAAAATTGCATCATATGCGACAGAATTTAGATTAATATATTCCCAATATCTACTGTATTTATTAGTTGCCATCTCAAATTTAGAAAAATGATCCAATTGAATATTCCTCGTGGCTAGATTTTTTTTCCTCAAACTGGATACAGCATGAAAAGAATTATTTTAGCAGGATAAAAATCAAATTCAATTGACATTCATTTAATTGCTAAATAACAACAACAAAAACTGATTTAATCATATGCACATTTATGCTACACCATATTTCCCAAAGATTATGCAAAAATTTGTGGAACAAATTTAATCGACAAGAGTCATATTCTAATATATGCATGAACTGTTACAATTGATGTCGATCCTTGTTTAAAATTACACGATATGAGGCGTGCCTCAGTGCAATTCTGTTGCAAAAAGCATTGAGGTGCACGCCTCATGCTTGTGCTTTGAGGCATATGCCTCTATCTGATTGAGGTGTGCCTCGCCTCACAGGCATGAGGCGAAAGCCTCATACATGTCATTTTTTTTAAATTATAAATATATAAAAAATATTTAGTTTTAACCTAATCTAAACAACTACACCTCCACACGGACCCATTGCATCCATGTCGTAGCTCCCATTCTTGACTTCTAACCATGAGTTCCCTGCCACCATCCTGCCACTATAACTGCTGGTGATCGCTTGGGGATGGTCGCCGCCGCAACCACCATCTCCTTCTCCTTCTCCTTCTCCTATTACATAACATTTTTTATGATGTCTTGCTATTGTAATGTTTAGATTTTAATTCTATTTTACGCATATTATCACTTGTCACATTACATCTTGTGCAATATTTTTTCATATTTATGCAAAATTGTTATTTTATAATTCAATAAAAAGTTAATATGTAACCCTTTAATATATTATTTAGTTATTATACCAAAAAAAATCACTTTAACCTTCATTTTCACTTTACACAATTTTTAAAATTTGAGATTTATGCCTCGCCTCAAGGACGAAAACTACCTCAATAACCAATTGCACAATTTTAAACCTTGATATTGATCATAAACATGAAATCAATATAACATACAACTATGTGAAGTTATTTCCATAAATTAGCATATATAATGATATTGCTTCTTCTTTTTTGCTAGTAGGAAAAGAAGTAAGTTTAGAACATTCCTGGAGAAATGCACACACATCAGAATGAAATAAATCTAGAAAATTATGAGAAGAAATGGCAAATACTGGCTTGAAAAAAGTTGAGTTTGGATCATAAATCCTGCACCGGAATCCAATCAAAAAAATAACCGTGATAGCTACGAGCTTGCATTATACAATATTAGAATCGGAAATGATCTAAATCCAAATTCGATCACATGCCCATCGATAAAATCCAATGATTTATGGTAGACAGAGATAACTAAAAGAGTCCATGGCAATAGATAAGGCGAAGAAGAAAAAGGGAAGTCGACGATGTAGAATCTTAAGGCATACAAGAGTATTAGGTTTAGTCCACATTAGATAGTTGAAAAATAAGCCAACAACAACATCAAGCCTTTATCCCACTACGTGGGATCGGCTACATAAATCCTTTTTGTCCATTGTGTCATATTAAAAGTCAAATTCTTGGTTAAATTTAATAGAGAAATATCATTTAAAATATTTTCTAACCAAGTCTTTTTAGGTCTGTCTCTACCTTTCTTAACATAAGTAAAATCTAATACCTTTACTTTCCTAACCAGGTCATCAAAAGGCTGCCGTTTTATGTGACCAAACCATCTAAGGCGACTCTCTCTAATCTTATCTTCTACTGGAGCTACTCCAACCTGTTCATATATATGCTCATTCCATATCCTATCTCTAAGGGTAAAGCCACTCATCCACCTGAGCATCCTCATCTCTGTCACACTTAAACTTAGTATTATGCTTCTCTTTTAATGGCCAACATTCGGCACCATAAAGCATAGCAGGCCTCACCACCATCTTATAGAATTTTGCCTTAAGTTTGAGGGGTACTTTTTTATCACACAACAAGCCCGATGCATTCCTCCACTTCAACCATCCAACTTGAATTCTGTTGATAATATCCCCATCTATTTCACCATCACTCTGAACAATAGATCCAAGATATCTAAATCGTGTACTCCTATTAATGACTTGATCGTCCAAAGTCACAATCCCCTCACTAGGTCTATTACTACTAAAATTACACTCCATATCCGTTTTAGATCTACTCAAGCGAAAACCTTTAGACTCTAAGGTTGACCTCCATAATTCAAGTTTACCTTCAACTCCCTCCCTAGTCTTATCAACAAGAAGAATATCATCAGCAAAAAGCATACACCAAGGTACATCCTCTTGCGAATGTCTAGTGAGAACATCCATGACTAAAGCAAAAAGATATGGGCTTAAGGCTGATCTATGATGTAACCCACCGAAATAGGGAAATACTTGGTCAAACCACCTTGCGTTTGAACACAAGTAATAGCTCCTGCATACATATCTTTAATGATTTGAATACAAGCGTTATTAACTCCTTTCTTTTCAAGAACTCTCCATAGCACTTCTCTTGTAGCTTTATCATATGCTTTTTCTAAATCAATAAATATCATATGTAGATCCTCTTTATTTTCTCTATATTTCTCCATCAAACCTCTTAATAAATGTATGGCTTCCGGAGTCGACCTACCCGGCATAAATCCAAATTGATTTAGCCTGGCATGAGTCCAAATTTTATGGCTTCCATATCTTTAGTTGAAAAATAAGCCAATGTCGAAAAAACAAGTGGTTGTTTCTCACTGATAGGTTTAGCTTTGGAGTTGAAAACAAATTTAATAATTGATGTATTTAGTCCAATACTCCAATTCAGTCCCCCCTTTTGATTCCATACTGGCAGAAAGTGGTGCCCAAATTGAAGAACCTCAGACCCCCTTTGATCCCACACTTCTTAACAAGAGGCAACAAAATTATTGATTAGATTAGAAATTAAGTGTTCATAAAATCTGTAGCTCTCATTTGTCATGGCTACCTGCAACCATAGTTGAGCAAAGATCAAGGGCAAATGACAGTTAAGATGATTCCATGTGATTGAGTGAACTCATGGTGCATGAAACTTAATGATATGTAAAACTTTCATTCAACATAGAAAGATGAAAATTATGGATAGTTGTCATGCGAAGGGGTTGTTAAGGCACATGAGAGTTTTAGAATTAGTCCTAAATTGGGTAGTTGAAAATATATTAGTGCAGAAATACTTCATAGTTAGCCAAAGGCTTAAGCTTTTAGGCTTAAAATGAGTTTGACTATCAGTGCATCTAACCCATCTTTGATTCCCTTTAGTAGTTCACACTCCCTAACAAAGATGAATGAAACAGTAAAAAAAGCATAGATGGGATTGGCAATTAAAAGTTCTTGTCTAGAAGCAAGAACGGACACTCCACAAAAAATGGTGTGCAAGCGTCAGACACGTGATATGAATGGGAGATAAGTAAATGATTCATAAAATTATAAATACTGATTACAAGGCACAAAAAATATACCTGCTCGACCGTAATATCCAAGACCTGAAGTGCCGCATTAACTTCTTGCAAAATAGGTGAGACAGCATCAAATCCTGAAGTGGAGCAGTATGATGTTAAATCAAATGGAACAAAGTGCTCATTCCCTTCTCTGCACAAAAAAATGAAATAAGATTCACGATGGGAGCATTTATTGTGACCAAAGAAGTACACCAATTACCTCATAATATTTTTTAGCAGATAAAACTCATTCTCAAATCCTGCATTCATTACCTACAGAAACCATAAAAAATGTATAAAAACAATGAAAGGCCTAGATGTATATAAGATGAGAAATTGAGAGTACCAGGTTAAATTCATCATTCAGAATTTTTGCTAGCCTTCGCAAAGCACTCCTAGGGCAATATTCCCAGGCTTCACCGGGTTTTATTTGCATGTCGGCCAACACCATTTCCTCTTTTTTTGACCTATTGTGGGCGAAACTCCATGATCAAATGATATGCGAAAAATATTTTTTTTCAAAGAAATAACATGTTCTACTTCAAAATTTCTCAGGAATTTTTAGAGGGGATTTTGATGAGTTATGTGTTCAATATTCATGTAAAAAAAAAAAATTCAAAGAAATTACAGTCAAAACCTTAATTAGTAGGCTAAACAATGAATGCGCTGTCAACAAACAAAAATCCATGACACTTAAATGATTCATAATGCATACACTTTCACATAGACATATAAACTCACAAATACAAAATAATGCACATTGTATACGTGTGTGGGTGGGTGTACGGGTGATGGCGGCAAAGAATATAACTAACTTCATATATTCTGATGGTTAGATAAATAAGAACCTGTCTGCCCCAGTTCTTTGCCAAAGCACAACTGCCTATGTTATCGTCTTCAATACTATATCGGAATTCAATTTAAAACCAAACCAAGGGTATGCCATAAATATACCATATTAAATTCAAAAAATTGGAGAGAGAAAAGCTTAATTTTATTGCACAAAACTATCCCTATTTATAGATCTATACAAGATATCTTAATAAAAAAATAAATAACTAAAAAATCATCCATAATTGCCCTAATATAATCCTTCCAAAATTAGCTACCCAAATATGGAAGGAGATCGACGTGATTTAGGTGAGCCTGCCATAGATCTCCATGCTGGCCGTGGGATCAAGGTTCAAAGGAGGGCTATGATTTAACACTCCCCCTCAAACTAAATAATATTGATTTTTCATTCTCAGCTCGATAATCAGTCCTAGAAAGATAGAGTTATCAAGTCTCTTGGTAAGAATGTATGCAAGCTGATTTTTTGATGAGGCTTGGCAGATACATATAAGACCACTGTCAAATTTCTCCTTTCTAAAATGTCTATCAACTTCTATATGCTTGGTTAAGTCATGTTGAACCAAATTGCGAGCTATGTTGCTTTCGAATTTGTTTTCACAATGTAGCTTCATGGGTCACTCCAATTTGATCCTTAGGTCTTCTAGAATCATCTTGATCTATAATAGTTCACATATTACTAAGGCCATATCTCTGAACTCTGATTCTGCACTAGACCTTACCACCACATTCTATTTCTTTCTCCTACACATAATAAGGTTTCCTCTAAGGATTGTGCAATATCCTAAGGTTGATCGTCTATCTACTGGTGATCTTGCATAATCTGCATCAATATATGCTTATGAGTTTACTCCACATTCTCTTCTGAAGAGAATCCCTTTTCATGTATTCCTCTTAAGGTAGTGCAATATTCTGTCTCACTTGCATGCGATTCTGCTTTGGATTTTGCATGAATTGGTTGTCATGCTTACATCAAAGATAAAATCTGGTCTGGCGTGAGAAAGGTAGATTAATTTCCCCATAACTCTATAGTAAGCTCCCTTATCTACATCTGGATTCTCTTTATCTTCCCCCAATTTAAGATTTGGTTCTACTAGTGTTAATGCTGATTTACAACTTAGTTTACCTGTTTCTTTAAGAAAATCAATAATGTATTTCTGTTGTGAAATAAAGATTCCTTTAGTGGAGTGGGCCACTTCAATTCCAAGGAAATATGTCAACCTACCAAATTTTTTTATCTCAAATTCATAGCCAAGAAATTTCATTAGACTCACTTTATCCTTTACATCATTCCTAATTAAGATGGTATCATCCACATAAATTAATAAAATTGTGACTCCCTTAAGTCTAAGTGTATGAAGAATAGTGTATGGTCCCCTTAGCTCTGTCAATATCCATTGAGTAGCATGACTTTTGATAATCTTCCAAACCAAACTCTAGGTGACTGTTTCAGCCCATAGTGGTTAATGTATTCTTAAGTATTGTCGGAACGAAATTTCATTATATTCACCCTGAATTAGTTTTGGATCATGGTGTGAAAAATGGGAAGGATAATGCTAAAATCGGATTTGTTTTTTGCAGAGAAAGATCTAAGAGACTCAAGTATAGTTGTCAATGAAGGATACAAATCACTGGGTCCCCGAAATGTTAAGGGTCTTTTAGGGTCCCTAAATACCACTATGAATAAGGTAGAAGGGAGTATGACATCTCTCATTTTTGTTTGGAAAAAGAATTTTTTATGCTTGGATAACTCAGTTTTTCAACTCATAAAAACATTTTGAATACATGGTGTTTAAGACATCAAAAGATGGATGTCCTAATCTAAAATGATGAAGCCAAATAGTAGATTTATTATTAAATAGGGATAACATTAATAGCCATTATTGATAATAGTAGATTTGTTCAGCTCTTCCAGGTAGTACAGTCTACCTTTCTCCTTGGCAAGTCAAATCTTCTTCCCCGATCATTGGTCCTAAAATAAACAACACGCATGGTTAAATAAGACTTGGCAATTATGATCACTAATAAGTTTATGTATGGAGATTAATTTTTTAGACAATGAGAAACCTAGAGCACAATTTTTAGAGTGAAAGAGGGAGATAAGGGTATGTCTCCTTGGCCTGCTACTATGGTAAGAGAACCATTAGTTGTTATGATTTTCTTATCACGTGGTAAGGAGTGTAGTTGATGAAGTGGATAATTGAGTATATCATGTGATCTGTGACTCCTAAGTCAATGATCCATAAACCTTTCAAATGATTTTTATAGACACTTAATCCGATGGATATAGGAAACTTACTTGAAAGTGCAAGAAAGATATAGGTGATTTTTCAAGGGATATCAAGAGTTGTTATACTTTTCAATATCTTCTTTATTGAGCTCTATGAAACTGGACTGTGGTTTTTGGTTGGGTTAACTTGTGTAGTATTACCTTATGATATCCCCTTTTAGCAAGTTCTTTGATTCCACCCCTCTTGGGGGCTTTCCATATAACTTCCAACATGTCGCTTTTGTGTGTCTTGATTTCTTGCAATATTTGCACCAAGGAAATCTTTGTCTTTAGGTTTTAACGAATCCTTACCCCTTTCCTTTTGGTTGTCATAATTGTTGATCTACCAATAGTCTTTAATTCCAACATTACCCCTTTTCGGCTTTCCTTAGCATGAATGAGAGAGATGGTCCATTTAGTGAAGTGTCTCATATTTGCCAATGATCTAAACTCTTAACATGGTCAAACTCTGAATTTAATTCTACAAGAAATTCATACACTCTATCTTTCTTAATAAAGCTTATTAGGATAACAACATCTTCTGTACACTTGGTCTATATGCATCTATAGTGATTAAATTCTTGCCACAAGCCTTTAAGGAGAGTGACATATTCAATCACGGTCTTATTTTCTTATTTTGTGCTTCCCACTTTGACCTTAAATTTGAAGATTTGAGCAACATCCCTAGATTTTGAGAGGACTTGTCTGGCGATATCCCATGTCCTTTGTAGTAAATAGGAACATGAAAGTATCACTAATTTCTAGAATCATGGAATTCCACAACCATGACATAATCATGGAGTTTGCTTCATCCAATGCCAAAAAATTAGGATCTCCTTCTTTTGATCCGACCCCAAGGAGGTGATTCATCTTTCCTTTCCCTTCCAAATAGGTCTTCACAAATTGAGACCATTTCAAGTAATTCTTCCTACTTACGTGATAGGAAGGTTGCATATTTTGGAGATCTCCTCTTCCTTGAAGCACTATAGAGTCCATTTGGTCAAAGCTTTGGGAGGAATTAGCTTCAGACATTACAGTGGTAAAGGATAACAATGAAGTCTAGACAAATCTAGCCAACAAAGTTTAGGGCACCAATAAAGTTTGCGTTAAATAGCAGCCCACAGGATCCCGACAACAGCAATGAAGGTCGGTGATAGGGCAACAGGGAAAGTTGATTAATTATCCTTTGAGTTCATCTCCTACTCGTTTGGTCCGGCTCAAGATATGCATGCTAGAATTGTCACTCAATTTGGTTCCCCCCAGATCACATATGAAAAAGCCACTTGAGCCTTTGAACCAGTCGCACACAGAGAACAGACCTCTACTCCTGCTCGGCTTGACCTCTATGTTCATTCATTTCGTCGCCTGTTTCAATTGACCCAAGTAAGTGAAGACATTAGCCCAAGGAAGTGAAGACAAAGCTTCTGGTCGCATGCAAAGAACAGACTGCTAGGCTCAACACTAGCGCATATAGAAGCCACAAGCACAGGTCCCTTGTTGACTCGAGTGACTCCCAGGTCACATGAACTGCTCGGTTTACTCGGCTTCATGTACACAGGGAGCCTCTCGATCCTTCTTGCTCCCTTGCTCGGTCCTCTTCTTTCTCGATTCATCCCCTATGTAGGAACGTACGAGAAACTCCCGTCTCCGCATCTTTTGGCCGCAGGCATGAAATAGAGGGTATGAGCAGTTTGGACCACTCGACTCTTGTTCGATCTCCAAAGCCAATGAAGGTGCTTGCTCCTCTCCACTTCCTTCGATTTATATATCCCAACGATTCCAACAATGAAGATCAATGGAAGGACCAGTATTCTTCAGAGTTTTGGCAATTAAGCCCGGTGGTGGGAATCTGGCTCTGATGTCATGTTAAATTTAGAAAATTGGAGAGGGAAAGGCTTAATTTTATTACATAAACCTATCTTTATTTATAGATCTATACAGGATATCTTAATAAAGAAATAAATAACTATAAAATCATGCATGATTGCCCTAATATAATCCTTCATGAATCAGCCACCCAAATATGGAAGGAGATCGGCATGATCCAGGTGAGCCTCCCATGGATCCCCATGCTCGCCGTGGGATCAAGTGTCAAGGGATGGTTGTGATTTAACATACCACTTAAAGGTAACATATGCCATGGCATTCGACAATGCTAACGAGTTGCAAATCCACGCCTAAAATTTAGTGAGGAAGGATATGGTTCCATGTGCCAAGCAAAATATAAAGTTACTTGCAAGACAAGTGACTCCTGATCATGGCCAACTAGTCCAATGCAAAAATTCATTAAATTATCTATCCACACTCAAAGCAAACAACTTATACCTATTACCTATCACATATAAGGTTCTCAATTTTGTCTACCATTCAAATAACTACAAGTAGTGCGAACAAAAGCAACAGTGACGAGTGTAGACATAGATGGATTCTATAACTAAATGGTAAAAAAAAAAAAAAAAGTGGTCCATTTTTTTCGATTTTTCATCATTAATGATTGAAGATGTTTTCAGGCATTAGGTACTCAAAAACTGATCAAAATATGAATGACAGAATTCCTCAATATACTAGGATGCAAGATCCATGGAAATTATCAATGAATGACAACAAATATGGTTTAGTAAAGGTATATGGATCAATTTCAGCACCATCAAAATAGTCATGGCCTTTCGCCTCATTTTTTGGAAATTTTCATAAATTGAATGTGGAAAAATATACTATCATCCAATATGAAGTACAATTATCAAACAAATAAAATTATCTTGTACCATGGGATTCGATGTTTTGTTGAACAATCCGGCATCAGTCTGATCTCACCAGTACCAGTAAGGTTTGTTCCATCAGCTGGGCCATCCGCAAATGAAGTCATACCCATTGATGCAAAAGTCAAACCTACACCAGTGTTGGCTACAACTTCATAAAAGCGCTTTACAGGAATGACCTGAATACACAATGGAATTAAATCAATTCAGAGAAATACTTCTGCATGCTTCCAGAGTGTCAGTTACTTGAGAGTTCTGGATTATTATACTTATTATTCTAAAACTGATAGCATCTAAGTGAAGCAACTTTAGGGTGTCTTGCTTGAGTCGTTTAATTTTAAGAGTCAAGTTTGTAAGTGTCATGAAATGTAAGAGTTTTCTCTAATATTATAAAAGTATCTTTGTTTCTTATTTTTATGTCTTTTTAGAATTTGGTGGATTTCTTTAGCAATTTTAGTATTCTTTTATATAGGAAGTCTTTGTTTTTGTGATTAAAAATTTGGGTCACTCTCCCAAATTTTTGATTGCATCAAACTTACATGGATTGAATCGCATGAAATGCAGATTAAAACAACCAGAACCTAAATATGAACCAAATTATTGAATTGAAAAACTTAATGTAAATATTTCAATAAATGACATGCAATACAAAATTATAGCTAATAAGCTATGAAGCATTTTAAACGTATAAGATCAATGACTATATCCCTTTGATTTTGATCAACCGCTACTAAATGAAAAAAAAAAGGCCATTACAGGTATAACTCAGTAGAGCCACCGATAGCCCAATGGGGGAAAGACTCACTCGACATCGTTGTTGCCCAGAAGAATCAGCCCAGATGATACGAACAAACATGATATCTTCTAGTAACGTGTCAATCTTCAATGTGCTTTTTTGGATGCTGTAACTTTTGTAATCAGTAGAACCAACAATAGCACTCAAATTGTAAAGCCGAAGTGCATTTTGTCTAAATATATCTTCAACAGCTTCCAGTGCCTCGTCAATGGTAAGATCACCATCCTCACACGCATTAGACAAAACATGGAACAGAACCTCACGTGATCTCTTTGAACCTATAAAAGTAAAAGAAACTCAGTAAGTGATACATGGTGATCATGGAAGGCCACTAAAACGATCAAGATTAAATCTACAAAAAAACAAGAATGACATAAAATATAAAGTTGGAAATTAATACAATCATATGCTCATAAAGCCCTGATTTATTGATTATAGAGTGCTACTAAAATTAATGAAGAACCATTCTTTGTATTTATAAAGATAGCGCTGTAAGGGATCATAAAATTGTTCATCAGTAAGCTGCATATACACAAATCACACTCCAGTACACAAGCAAGCCACAAGAAGGCCTTCAAGAGTAGATTAAATAGTAGCAATTCAAGTAATATCAAAACTGTGTAAGACCATCGACAGTTCATGACAGCTGTAATTGGATGGTATAGAAAAAGTACATTTAGTTTTATAAAATTCAGGATAAGCATGTATCACACAAATCTGTTCAGTAACACATAAACTAGTATGAACTATCATACGCAGATTGGATTTACCTCATATTACAAAGAAGTTATACTGGATCAAGCAGTACTTAGTAATAAATCTTGAAGAAGTGCAAAACCATCAGTATACGAAGAAAAGAAATTTTACAAGGCAACAAAGCATTAAAATTGCCAGCATACCTAGATAATATATTTCAGGAAATGCAAAACCATCTGAGCTGTACATTACCTATAAATCAAAGAAGAAAATATTACCAGCATTAACAAGAATGGAATTGGGAAAAAAAAGGTGCATTAGAAACAAAAGAAACTGATGTATTCAAGCCCGAACCTAAGTTAAATAATAAAAAATTCTACAGGAAGAATTCAAGAACTGTTAGGGTGGGTTAGCTCTATAACACGGAATGTATGGACAAGTACTCAGCTCTATGTATGGAGGGCCGATGGTGGCAAGACAGCTATTCAACAATACTTATGATCAATTTTTTATAGCCGCAAAACAACCTGAAGTTAAAAATTAGAGTTTTTTAATTTTCCCACCTATTCCATCTTCTTCAGGAGAAGAGAACACGGGGCATTAAACCCCAATATTGGAATAATGCGATTATTGAAGATTTCTCCAAAAAACTAAGAAGGAACGCAGCTCAACAAACAAATTATCGAGATTTTTCAAAAAAAAAAGATTTCAACGAATGTTAAAGATTTTAAAATTTTCAGAAATAAGTTTGCCTTAAACATGTTCGAATTTACCTCCCCTATTGTCTCATAAGAACTGAAACTTTTCTTAACCAATGTTTTACCCCTATTAGCTTATCCACCCACAACCCCCTTCTCTTTTTTTGTTGTTTTGTATTACACAATATTTGCAGGGTTTAAATGTATGCTCTCATTTATGGTTTGTTCTCAGTTGTTTAAAGATGACTTAATAGAGTTGTTCCATCCTTTGTAGTTAGCAACAATAAAATATACGTGATAAAATGAATAAATGGCAGAGAGGCCAAACATTAAAAAAAAAAAAAAAAACATATGTGTATATAGCCAAAACAAAAAGAGATAGCAACAGATAAAATGCTTTCAAAAAAAAAAAGGGGAAAACAATGTCCAAAAAAAAAACAACTATAAACAACTATGACAGTCTTTAAAATAGTTTTGAAGCAGTACATATATGTGTATAGGATTTCATGGCAAACTCTTTAATTTTTTTTTATCCTTACACAGCCGTGTTCAGCTATTTAAACTTAAAGGACAATACACAACTGTGTGTATATTCTTTTGGCAAATTATTTAATTTTCGGTGGTATACACAATTATACACAGTTGTTTTATGGCAATTCTTTTGATTCCAAAAGTTAAAATGCAGATATGCACAACCCTTGAAACTCAAAATAAGAGACGTAAACAGTTGTTTACAGAGGCTTTATGGCAATTAATTTCATTCTACGTATAACACTTTAAAATCAAAGTAGAGATGAAATAAGACTTTATGCTAATTTATTTCATTCTAGAAGTTGTAAAAAGTTCCACATATCACTTTAAACTCAAAACCAAAGTTTTATTCACCATGGAGATATTCTAGTGAAATTCATTTCATTCTAAAAGCTCTACACAGCTATGTACAATCTTCAAAGCATAAATTAAGGGTTGTTCAAAACAGTGTAAGAGTTTTATGATAATTCATTTCCTTCTAGGTGTTGCACACTACCATGCACAGAACCCTAAATTTTACATAAATGTACAGTATTTTATGGCACTTCATGTGATTCTACGTTGTGTAATTAGTTGTGCACAACCCCCTGAACTTAAAGAATTGTATATAGTTGTGCTACGGCACTTTATGGCAATTGAGTTCATTTTGAAGTTGTACATAGTTGTCTACAACCCTATAAGCTCAAAGGGCTATGCATAGTTTGTATATCCCACTAAATCTAAAGGGTTATAGCAGTTGTGTACAAGTGCTATATGAAAATTCTAGGTGTTGTCCATAGTTGCATACAACCTTCGAAACTCAAAGAAAAAATATACACAAGAGCTTCATGACAATAGATTTTATTCTAGAAGTTGTACATAAATGTGTATAATCCATTAAACTCCAATTAAGAATTGTATAGCCCTCTAAATTCAAAAATAAATGTTGCATACAACTGTGTACAGATGTTTTATATGAGGTTATTTTATTTTAAGTATTATACAGTTGCATCAAACTTTGTAAACTCAAAATAAGAGTTACACACAAATATGCAAGTATTTTATGAAAATAGATTGTACATGGTTCAATATACCCTCTAAACTACATGTGAGCACCAATTAATTTTGGAATACGAGAAAAAATATATTTCATTCTATAAATTGTACATAGTTCTATATATCCCTCTAAACTACATGTGAGCACCAATTAATTTTGGAATATGAGGAAAATTTGTGGCACATATTAGCATTCTATCGAGATATTGTCCGCTTTGGTCTAAGGGCTTCACGGTTTTGTCCTGTTGGTATAACTTCCTAGGAGGTCGCCTATCCCAGGATTTCTCCAGAGCACGCTTAACTACTGAGTTTCGTTGATGAAATTCAAACCATTACATCAAAAGGCACCTCAATATTTAAGAGTTTTGCTTCTTTCTACTTAAGAGGTTTCACAACAATATACTTAATTTTAAGCTTGAATCGTTAAAATCTACATGTATTCGTTTACTCCTAAATACTCGACTGTCGGGATACATTCAATAATATGAAGAATCTCTAATGCCTTTCATACTAAATTTTGCTCAAATGTAATTGTATATGCTGAAAGACTAAATAATTTACTTTCTAAATTAGAATTCGTATTTCTTACCAACGTGACGCATTGCCTCCTCGATTTTGACTCCTCGCAACCTTTTACGCTTATAAATCACCTAAACAACCCAAGTTTCACAATTGTTACAATTTCTACTATTCTTATAATATATTTTTATACACATACAAATAATATCCATTAATTCCAAAATAAAAATTTTAACTCAAAACTTCCTCTCCTCATTATACTAGTTGAATCCTAATAACAGTTGAGTATTATTAAATTAAGAACTTATAAATTAAATTCTACTATAAACAAATTATTAAACTATTTCCTTACCTTTTTTATTTCCTTTTCCTAATTCCTTCACCATTCTATTCTTCTTCTTTTCTTTCTCTCATCCAAAGACAGACCTTCAGCCTTTTGGAATGCCTTGCTCCTAGACTCGAATCCAAGCACAAAAAAAAAAAGAGCTGAAATGAGGAATGGCCTCGAATTAACAAGGAAATGAGGTTAAATGGCAAGTTAATGAACTTTTACTTAAAAACCCATAGCCTAACCCACTGCACGCTCAGCGTAATGCTAATTTTTTTTAAAAAAAAATTTGCTCTGCTACAGTAAAAGTTATAAAAAAGAATAAGAGCCGAAATGAGGAATGGCCTCGAATTAACAAGGAAATGAGATTAAATGGCAAGTTAATGAACTTTTACTTAAATACCCTTTAGCCTAACCCACTGCGCGCTCAGCTTAATGCTAACTACCAAAAAAAATTTGGCCTGCTACAGTAAAAGTTATAAAGGAACAGTAATTGATTTGAATCCTTAGAAAAAGAATTCAACTCAAAACTAATTCAATAACTTTCACATCTTTATAAATTAACATATACTTCTATATACAAATTTGCTCCAATTGACGAGTAGAATAAAATAGAATGATTTCTGATGATTTTTGTGAAAGTTGATATTTCATCATATAATTAAATTAAGGGAACTTTCGAGATTTTACCCGAAAATTTTGGGTATTACATATAAAAACCAAATAATATATTAAAGGATGATATAATAATTTTCTATTGAACTATGAAATAATAATTTGGCATAAATATGAAAAAAAAATTGCATAAGATATAAATTGACAAGTGATAAATTCCGTAAAATAGAATTAAAATTTAAAACATCACAATAGCAAAACAATATAAAATATATTCTCTAATTGGAGATGGAGAAGGTGGTTGCAGCATCAGCCTTCCCTAGGCCATCGCTAGGGGCTGCAGCGGCAAACTAGCAACAAGAAATTCACGGCTAGAAGTCGAGGATGGGAGCAGCAGCGGATGCCTTTTTGTATGCTATTTGTATATGACAATGATCCTAAACATTCATAAACCAGCTAAAGTAAAAATGTTAGAGCAATACAAAAAATGTTCATAAGAAAAGTTGATGAGGACTAGTAAACAAATAAGTTAAAATTTTAGTGACTTGTTGAATTTGTCGTCCCTTGTATATGTTTAAGTACATTGTATCTATTATATAAAATAATGGGTAAACAACAACAACAACAACATCAAGCCTTTATCCCACTATGTGGGGTCGGCTACATGAATCATTTTTCTCCATTGTGTCCTATTAAAGGTCAAATTCTCGTTTAAATCTAATAAAGAAAGGTCATTAAAAGGATAAATATAAATCTACAAGGCAAATTTAATAAAACAACAATTAGACTAGTTAATAAGAAAAAATATTCACTAGATGGGTGTAGGTCGACCATCAAACAACAATAATAATTAATTACTATTTTGCTTAAATGCTTCAAATACTGACCAATGAGTTGTGCCAAATCAAAAAGCAATGACAACTATATTAGTAACAGATGGAAGTCAAAAATTGTGTTATATGTAATCCAAGTTTTAATGACTAAGTAATCATTATTAGCCAAGATTAATATTAAAAAAATGAGAATGCTAAGATGATCTATAGAAAAACTAGGAAGAATAGATTGAAAAAAAGATAATATCAAAAGAAAAGTGGAGTGGCATCTATTAATAATACAATGGTAAGAAAAATGATTTGGGTATTTTAGACGTATACAACAGATGGTAAAAATGCACCATAGATGGGTAAATAAAATTTGTGATTAAGGATTAGGAAGAAGAACAGAACTACAGAAACCATTTAAAAGATGTATGCATAAAAAAGTAATGCATATAACATTCGACAGGAATTAAACAAGAATCAGGTTTTATCAAGACAACAACAAATTGTCTGAGTTAAGACTTAAGAATAAATGATGATGATAAAGTAAAGCAATTTATAAAGGATTTGTTGAATAAACCACAATAAAGCTTCTAATCTAACTTATGCTTGCTCCAATAATATATTAATGTATAATTAGGTTTAAAGAGTAGGACATTATGCGAGGTGCCTTACTTTGAGATTGGTAGCGAAGGTAATTATAAACGGATAAATTGCATCTGAATCATTATATCAAGGGCTTAATTGCAAAAAGTTCCATATTTTTTTGTTAAGATAGCATAAAGACTCCTCAATTATAATATTGGATTGCATATAGTTCCTTTCAATAATAGCTGTAAGATGAGCTATTAATTGCATATAAAATAATTGATCATTTTAACTGCATCTAACACCCAACATTTGGTACCTAATTGCAATCTGATCTTGGCTATTCAAAATAACAAATCATTATATCTAGGGCCTAATTGCAATTAGTTCCACAATTTTTTTTAACTCAGCGTAGACTCCACTATTATAATACTAGATTGCATATAGTTGCTTTTCAATAAGATTGTAAGATATGTTATTACTATTGTATAAGAGAATCAACATTCATCATTTTAATTGCATCTAACTCCTAACATTTGATGCCTACTTGCATCCTCTACCTTTCTATGCTAGGTCCCATCAAGTGTCAACAAGGCGGATTGCAGCCTGACAACAAAAACATGCTGATTTTAAAAATATGATGGTTCAGTTGCAATTGGTGGCTTAATTCAAGCATATACATGCAATTTAATCCACTACTAAAAATGTAACTTCATATAATATGATGATCCATGTTAAGAAAATAATTTCTCACCTTTTTTATTGGAGCCAAATGTAGTAATTCACTCACAGAAGAAATCATCCCTGGAACACTAAGCATAGGCACTGCCAACCCAAAATCAAGGTAAACCTGTCCATGAAAGTATCAGCACATTGACACATTCAAAGTTCTCAAAGCTCACACAAGTGAGCTTTATGACTAAACTTCAAACCTGAGGATAAACAGAAGCAAGATATGAGGCTTCCCTCGAATATGGATAAGCTGCATGTAGGAGAACAATCCGACTTCTAGAAAATCTCTTCTCCTCAAGAACAGTGCGCAGATGAAGAGGGTTGCATTGCCTCAAATCCAAGTCTTTATCACCAAAACTGAAATTTCAAAACAAACACAGCTAATTTGTCCAGTTTGCAGCTCATGAATAACACAAAACAAGAGGTTCGAATTGACAATTTTCTTTCCACGCACACAACCAAGAAGAAAAAAAGGCCTGTGAGGCATAAACTAAGGCATTTTCTGCAAAAACATAAAGTAAAAAGGAGATACTTCTTCATGATCTAGATGTAGAAGTAAAGCATCTAAAGTGAACATAAGATTGCTGACTATGTAGGATTCATAAGACCTAAAAGACAATCTATACAGGAGTAAATCGATCAGATAAATCAGTTCCATAGAAAGCCAATTTGGCTAATTACGATTATAAAATTCTAGGTACTCCACAACCTAAATTGTACTTATGTTGTTCCATCCTCATTGATGGCATCTCCAAAAAATGTACAGTCAAACACACGACCCCACAAGAGGAGTATTGGTTGTGACCCAAAACAAACTATAAGTACCAAGCAATTTGGGAGTGTGAACTTATATATTTACATGTTTTCTAATATTTTATGTGCATGAAATAATTTTTTTTCTTTTCCAAATATAATTTATAGATTTAGGAAGTCCATATAGGCTTATAGGACAACTAAAAGAGTGATGAACTAGAAAAATAAGTTCCTAAGTGCAGCCTAGAATGCAGCAAAGGCAAAAGCTTGAATCCTATAATCCAAGTCTATAATTTAACTAAGTTGTATAGTGCATGTAACTCAACTGCCATTTTTAATTCCTAGTTATAATAAAAGGTATATACATTATTCTGTAGATGATTATTATATTTTAAATCTAATTTACTTTTAGTGTATATTAAAAATAGCATGTTTTTTTTTAGAATTTTTCTATTGCCTTTATTTAGTGGTTACCTAAAAATTTTAAGCAATAGGCTCTTTAAGAAAATAAATTTTCTACAAATTAATTTATAAGCAATCTAAAATCAACCATAGAATAATACTTTCAAGCAAAATTCCATGATTTATACAAAAATAAGCTGATTTTAAAATTAAATAAAATTTAAAGCCTCCTAATAGATTGTAATTTGCAACTCCGCATTTGACTGATTGCTTATTCATTAGAATGTGCTTGCATATCAGTGTCAAATTCATGTACTAAGTTGATGAATATCATATGCATAGCCCAATGAGCCAATATAGAAATAAAAGCTCACATTAAAGACTAGATAATAAAAATTGCATAGTGAGTCAGCATATACATACAATCATGATCATACTTTCTTAGCATAAGCAGCTAAATTGTATGTTTTTTTTTTTCCTAATATCAAAATAGCATGTCTTATCTTGCATAAACATTAAAACCATATTTGATTTACATGATTTTAAAAGTGCTTGGGTGATTTTAGTTGGCTTTTCAAGCAGTATCATAAGTCCAAAGGTCGAACTGACTTAACATCAGCTTAGTTTTCAAGTTCATAAATCCCATTCATTCTATTAAATTTAAGTCTGCGCTGCTGCCTATTAATGGATTTCACCTACATCTAAAAGGTTTGAGGCTGATATTCTTTTCATTTACATCATAGCCCTCACCCTCTTGGGCATTTCCTCCAACTTGTATAATTAGCATATAAACCTAAACTTAATAAATTAAATTAGTAAATTTAAACAAAATTTTAATTTTAAAAATATGAAGTCTAATATAAGATAGTTTTGAGTACCTCTTAGTTTCTAAGAATCAGGTGCTCTCGCATTTTCTCATTTGACTTCCATTTAAAAGTTAATTTTTAAGCTAATCAAATCACCCTTGAAATTCTAAAGATAAAATCTTTGACACGAATTGATTAAAATTGGATAAAATGTTAGTCACAATTTTGATAAAAAGATGTAAACAACTATTTTAATTTAAAAAAAAAATCTAAATGGAAAAATATCTTTGGGATGAAATTAATTATAAGGGCTTACCCCTATAAGAAATATGTATCCCATAATAAAATAAACACCGTTCAATCAAACATATTAAGTAGGGGAAAATATTTGAGTGAATAAAAAATATAAGTATTGTTATTAAATTTATAGCAAAACAATATTTTTTCACCAGGGATAATATATTATTTTTTATGTCATACTCATTCACAAAATATTTTAAATCCATTGAGGATAACAAAAATCCAACAACAGACTCGTAATATAATTTTTGTCATCTAGTTCTTAATGTTAAGACTTTTCTTTTTACAATTGCAACTCACTAAACTATGCATAGAATATTCATTAGCATTTTATATGGGTTTGATGTTGATTTGTAAGCACACCCTTATAGATAAATAATCAATCAAATACTGAATTAAATATTACAATTCATAAAAAGGTTTTGAATTTCATTTTAATTATTAAAAAATTATCTTATTTTTATAAGCAATATAATTTTATTTGAAAATATTATTCTACGATTAATTTTAGATTGCTTATATTTTAATTAATAGAAAATTTACTTTTCTAAAAGTTAATCGCATAAAATGTCCAGGCCACCTGCAAGCAAAGACAATAAAAAAACTTACAAAAAGCATGCTTTTTTAATACACGCTCAAAGTAAAGCAATCAAATACATCAATCTTTCAAAGAATAATGTACAGGTATCTTATTACAACTAGGAATTAAAAGTAGTAGCTGAGTTGTTTGTCTTATACAACCCAATTAAAATTACACACTCAGCTTGTGAATCATCAAGCTTTGGCTTCTGATTAGGGCTGCAAGTGAACCAAACGTTCGACGAGCTACTCGTTGTTCGGTTCGATTAAAGCTCGTTTGTGAACGTTTAATTAACTAAACAAACAAACTTGAACAATATTTTTAATACTTTATTCTTAAATAAACAAACTTGAACACTAATGTGTTCGGCTCATTTATGTTCGCGAACAACATCATTTGAAGTTCGTAAACAAGCTCAACATTAAGCTCGATAAAAGCTCGATTCATGTTCGATTTTGAACTCGTGAATAAGCTCGATAAAAATAATTAATATTTGACTATAAAAGTAATAAATAGACAATTGCTTTTATTATAAATGTGTTCGTTCATAGATATGTTCATGAATGTGTTTGTTTGATAGTTAAAAAAATCGTTAAATATGTTTGCGAACAAGCTCGATAAACACTAAACGAACGAACATGAACGGGTGGTTTAGTTTAATTATTAGAGACTTACACTTTTATTTATTTTTTAAAGTTATTTCACAATTTTAAAATAACACATTAAATGACCACTGCTTAGAGGCAATGTCATTCATGAATTCCTAAGAACATTGATGTGAGTATTTCACCTTTTGGGGTGAAATGACAAATCATTGCATCAAAAGAATCCTTGCACAAGAAAAATAACAAAAAGTTTCTCTACAAGAGACAAAAATATGAGTCGAAGCAAATTTAAAATTAATATTTATTTATTTATATCATGAAAATTTTTTATTTTTAATTTAAAATGAATACTTTAGTATTTTAATTTAAATAAATAAAAATAACAATAATAATATTAAAAAATCAAAATAAATTAAAATTCAAAATTTCAGGAACATAACTCCTTACATTTTGCTACAGCAAAAAAACAATATTGTCCTTTTTATTTAAATCATTAAAAAATTAAACTAAAACCTATACCTAAAGTAGCACTTATTTTCACACACAATTAAAAAACTAATTAAAAAATTAATTAAAAATAATAACTAAAAAACTAAACTAAAACCTATACCTAAAGTAGCACTTATTTTCACACACAATTAAAAAACTAATTAAAAAATTAATTAAAAATAATCATTAAAAAATTAAACTAAAACCTATACCTAAAGTAGCACTTATTTTCACACACAATTAAAAAACTAATTAAAAAATTAATTAAAAATAATAACTAAAAAACTAAACTAAAACCTATACCTAAAGTAGCACTCATTTTCACTCACACACTCACACATCCTCATGCACAAACAACCGACTCCCACACCTGGTGTAAAACCCGAAAACAACGATCGTACGTCGTCGTACGCTTTTTGATGCGTCGCTACGAGACTTTAGTGAAATTTTTGAAGTTAACGGAATCTGATGGAAATAATTTTATAAAATCCTACGCAAAATTCTGATCAAATTGATGTATATAATTTAGTTAATTTGGAGTATTTTAAGAGATAAAATTTTTGGAAATCTCATAATGCCAACTTTACCCCTAATTGTTTCTTAAGTCAAATTCACTTAAGTAAGAGCATCATGGACATTTGGAAAACTCAATTTCTCCCTATTAAGCAAGCCGAGCCCTCCCCACTCTCCCCCATTCGCTCATTTCGGCCAAAACCGAGAGAAAGCAAGCGGACGGGACTGACGGCGCGGGCTCGGCGAGGGTGGCTCCGGCGACATTTTTCCGGCGAAGAATTTAGTTCAAATCGAAGAGGGTGACGAGAAGAATATAAAGGTATGATTGTTTCAAAACGAATCTTTCTAGATCTCAAATTATTTGGAGACGAAGTTTCTAGGGTTTTTCCAAAATCTTGTTTTCATCAAAGTTTTCTTTAAGAAATTAATAGGGAATGATTAGAGGAGCATTTTAACAGTAGAATCAAAGATTTTGGAGAAATTTTGGAAAACGAAAAATTAAGACTTTTTACTAAAACCTAATTTCTATAAGTGATTTTACAAAAGTTGTTTATAAAAGCCTTAGGAATGATTTTATGACAAAAAAATTTATTTTTGGTGAAAATCTTATTTTTTGTAATTTCCTAATTTATTAAATCCGAAAATAATTAACCTAATTATTAAATTAGGTTTAGAAGAGAGTTTGATGTGATAATAAGAGAAAACTAATAAAAATTAGAGTTCCAAAATATAGAATTTTGATAAATCCGAAAATGCTAATTAAATTTAAATAAATTAAGTATTATGTAATGTGACTTGAATCTTATGTGCAATGTTAGGTATTGACTGTTTAGAGGAATGACAAGTGTCGGAGCGACGTCGTACATCGTAGAAGTCTGTTTTGAAGTCGTTAAGGTAGGTATTCATACC